CAATTGATGAGGCGAGGCCCCAGAAGAGATGGAGCCGAGGTAAGCCAGAAGAGGAAGACACCACCCTCAGAGCACGGGGGCGCTGCCCTGGGAGAGAGGGACAGTAGGTCAAGATGGGTGCTGCCTGGAGAAGGGGGGAGTTGAGGGAAACCTCATCCTGGGGTCAGAGGAAGAGAAAGAAAGCTAACGGCAGCCAGGTGCAATGGTGCACACTGGTAATCCCAGCACTTTGGGAGGCCCAGGTGGGCAGATCACCTGCGGTCAGAAGCTTGAGGCCAGCCTGGCCAACATGGTAAAACCCCATCTCTATTAAAAATACAAAAAATTTCTGGGCGTGGTGGCTCACATCTGTCATCCCAGCTCCTCAGGAGGCTGAGGCAGGCAAATCGCTTGAACCCGGGAGGCAGAGGTTGCAGTGAGCTGGGATGCCTTATTGCACTCCAGCCTGGGTGACAGAGTGAGACTCTGTCTCAAAAACCAAAACAAACAATCAAAAAACAAACGTAATGTCTTTTCTTTCTTTTTTTTTCCCCTTTCTTTTCCTTCCTTTCTTTCTTTTGGTCTTTTTCCCCTCCCTCCCTCCCTCCCTTCCTCCCTTCCTCCCTTCCTCCCTCCCTCCCTGTCACCCAGGCTACAGTGCAGTGGTGCTATCTCACCTCAATACAATCTCTGCCTCCAGGTTCAAACAATCCTGCCTCAGCCTCCCGAGTTGCTGGGACTACAGGCACACACCACCACACCCAGCTAATTTTTGTATTTTTAGTAGAGACGGGGTTTCACCATGTTGGCCAGGATGGTTTCGATCTCCTGACCTCGTGATCTGCCGTCCTCAGTCTCCCACAGTGCTGGAAGACCCCCACATGCCTGTAAGGCATGAGCCACCGCACCCGGCCACTTTTTTTTTTTTTTTTTTTTTTTTTTGAGACAGAGTCTTGCTCTGTTGCCCAGGCTGGAGTGCAGTGGTGCAATCTCAGCTCACTGCAACCTCCACCTCCTGGGTTCAAGTGATACTCCTGCTTAAGCCTCAGAAAGTGGCTGGGATTACAGGCGCCCACCATCACAACTGGCCAATTTTTGTATTTTTAGCAGAGACAGGGTTTCACCATGTTGGTCAGGCTGGTCTTGAACTCCTGATCTCAGATGATTTGCCCGCCTCAGGCTCCCAAAGTGCTGGGATGACAGGCGTGAGCCACTGAGCCCCGCCTGTCTAATCTACTTTTATTAACACAGGGTCTTGCTCTGTTGGCCAGGCTGGAGTGCAGTGGCATGATCATAGCTCACTGCAGCCTTGACCACCTGGGCTCAAGCGATCCTTCTGCCTCAGCCTCCCGAGTAGCTGGGACTACAGGCATGCACCACCACATCCAACCCAACTAATATTTTATTTTTTGTAGAGATGGGGATCTCATTATGTTGCCCAGGCAGGTCTGGAACTCCTGGGCTCCAGTGGTCCTCCCACCATGGCCTCCCAAAGTGCTGGAACGACAGGCTTGCCCCATCATGCCTGGGACTGGCTCACATCCTTTTAATTGCATTTCTTAACTACATAAACTATTTATTTTCCTCATTATTCACTCTTCCCAGGAGGACACGAGCTCCATTAGGATGTGTTTTTGGCTGTTTATTCACTCACTGCTCTGTCACCGGATCACTTGTCAGGCAATAAGTTTTTTCTCTTGTTTTTTTTTTTTTTTTTTTTTTTTTTTTTTTTTTTTTTTTTTTTTTTTTTTTTTTTTTTTTTTTTTTTTTTTTTTTTTTT